AGACCGCGACCTGCTGGCGGGCAGCTGCTTTATCGCGCAGTGATATGACATTTTTGGGCATGTTCGCACTGCCGGGCTCGCCGACCGCGCTAAATAGCCGGTGCGGTGGCAGTGAAACACTGCGCGTAACAGTGACACAATAATGTTCCATTGTCAGTGGTCGTGCGTTGCGTAGAGGTGCGCCAATCGTATTTGCCGCGGGACCGTCGACCACGCTGAAAGTCTCGCCACGAATGTTGTTTCATGTAACTCAATATGTACGCAGTCCTATAGCGGCACTATAAGCAAGTTACGCGGTGAATGAACATGTGAGATTTCCGGCATGAGCCTTCCTGAGTATTACTATTCATTGCCCACATACCCGCACACCTGCTCCTCCCTGGAACCCCCCTTGCCTGCGTGAGCCACAAGACGCGAATAAATTCGTGGGTAAAAGTGATTGCGTGAATACGCAGATAATTAGATCACCTGAGGCCATTTCATGGCATTCCATGACCATAGCTATAGGCGACTCCATATCTGTGATAGTCTTGCACGATAGCGGTATTAGTGCACTGAGAAATGACAATGCACAATGCAGTGAGCGGTTTTCAACACACAACGTCAAGTGATCTCGGTTTTGGATGCGCGGTTTGGGACGGCACACCCAGCCGCGCTATGGATTTGGTTTTCCGTGGTTACTTGCCTTGGCTCCTGAGATCCAGCGTCACACCTTTACCCGGCAGCGCCTAGGGTCTATTGCTACCTACAACCCTAGCTGTGGTGGTTAAAAGTAGCCTGAAAGGAGAAGGAAAGTGATATAAGTAAACGTGACGCAATAATCTATTTTTAATGGGGAAGATCGAACGGCGATAGAAACCCACTTCTGGCTTTCCATTCGGGTCCTATGCAAAGGTCAATCGTTTTTGAAGGTACTAAGTATACCAGCTTATATATCACAAATAGGCGCAAAAATTGTTTGGTTTTAATGCTAGAAAGTTGGCCTAACATATCTTTCGATGGTGACCCGGTATGACCAAACGCGACAGGATTAGCTTGCACTACTAGATGTTAAACCACGAGATGAGGTACATTAAGACGCTAAGAATATTGCGACTGCGATTAATAAGAATTTGATATAAAAATAAATAAAATAAACATCTAATTTAATAAAAGATAACGTATTGGATACGGCGATTTACCAAATGTGAAGCAAAAAAAAAAAAAATAAGGCAAGGTTTTACAGATAACGTCGTAACTGACATACGATCCTAACATGAGTAATGTAGGATGCGATTAACATCAGAAGTAACATCTCACGATTTTAGCGTGACGTTGTAGTGTTTGTGAGTCTGTGGATCCGGCATAGGCCACAGTGATATGACACTCAGTCGTTAAAGTAACATAACTGTAATCGTGATTTGTGAACTTGCGAACCCGGTAAAAGCTGCATAGATTTGACGCTCAGGGTTTCGAGTAGCGCGATTGTGTTTTGTGAATCTGTGTGCCCGGTATTCAAGTCACAATATACGGCGCTCAGTCTCAGCACACCAGGAAATTCAGTGAAGGTGAAGACTTGGAGATTAATGGCTAGATGGATTCGAAGTGTACCTTTATACTTTAGGCATTGCAGAAGCGACTCGGAAGATAGCGTTCTCGCTTCATCTGCTGGGAACAGACATCAAAAAAAAAAAATATTTGCATTCATGTGCCTTAGGCATTGGAGGAGTGACTCGGAAGAGAGCACTCCTGCTTCATATGCTGAGAACAGATATCCAACAAAAATTGGAGGATGTAAAATAAGAGTGTACAAAAGGAGGAAGGTGTAGCTGAGGTTTAGTGCTCAGAAAAACGGACCCAGTCAGTGCCCCTGCTAACGTCGGTAGACAATCGCATAAAGCAAGTGAGTGCTGGTCCACAAAAGGGAAAACGCGCAACAAATGCGGAGGCAAAAATCAGTTTGCAAAAATGCGCAAAAGTCAACGAGTAGACCAGCCTAGTCTTACCAAGCGAGTGAATGCAACGAGGGAAGACACCGCACCTAATGATTTTGCGTTGACCCCTGGCAATAGCACTGGGAACAGTGACCGGCTAACAATGGTAACACTGAATAGCCAGGTTGTGAAGGCACTGGTCGACACTGGAGCATTAGCAGACATCATAACCAGAAAGGACTTCGTGAGACTGGCCGGCATCAAAGCGACCAATGCCGGATCACCAGGTGTGCACTCTGGAAATCTTTTGCTCGCATTTTCCATCTGCTCGGCTTGAGCATCCAGGGCTATTCGGCAGGTCTTGGCTTCAGTAGGTCCAGACTGGTTGGCATGAGTCTTCCCCTTCTGACTCCCGCGAGTGCCACTTTCGTGATGCTCTGCTAGGAACTTCGACCCCTCATCAAAAACAATGACAGCTGTAGCTCGAGCAGACGGTCGTCTCCACTCATCAGAAATGCTTTTAGGTTCTGCTTGACTATCTGGGGCGTGATTGTACGGGGTGTGCACCCCGGCTACCAGTTAGCCGTGCTTTGGAAGGGGGCGCCTATGAGCTCGTGGGAGCAGCTTTGCCGGCGACGGAGCCATGGGACGGCGGCTGCGGCTCCCACCATGTGCTTTCAGGGCCGAAGACGCGCACCCGGCGGCGACGACGGCCTGTCGCGAAGGTAGCCTCGCTGTCTTACGAGCTCTACATCTGACTGGGTGCCGGGGGGCGTCACGTGACCGCGGGTCCCCCGATTCGCCGGAAGTCACGGGGCGACCGTTGAGGCGGCGGCAGGGACCCGACGCTCGCAGGCGCCAGCAGGTTTTTGGACGAGTCCAAGCTATCCTCCACTGCTTACACTGGAATTCCCCATCTTTCGAATATCTTTGACAGCTCTCTGATTGCTGCTGCTGTGGTGATGTTCTTCATTGTGACGATTTCTGGCCGCTTGCAATGGCTGTCCACCACTATCAGCCTTATGGTAAAAGCCTTATGGTTCCCTTAAACCGGCAAATGCTAAATTGGCTTCAAGATGACGCCGGGCTCCTTAGGGCCTTTGCTCCAAAGGGGTCCATGCCACCTCCAGGCAGACCATTGCTCGAATGAGATTTTTTTAGGCGGCTCATGACCGGCCCACAGATTTTGTTCTCCGATTTAGTTCACGGCACATAGCTGTTCATTTTATTATTATTATTTTTGATTGAACTCAATTTACTCATTGCTTGCGCTGAACCATTTGACTCACCACTCACGCAAGAACAGCTTTTGTACTTCTTTGCATTAAAGGGAGTGTTCCACATTTGTATGGGGTTTTGAATTGAAATAGTCATCATGGCCATGACGTGCAGCTCATAGCCCTGCTCTTCTTACTACCTAAACCCCCCTAATTTCTGAGCTGCATGCCCGAAAAGGTGCGCAGACTATTTCGCGCAGACTGTTTCGAGGCTAACCAGACATCCATGACGCCATACGAACGTGATTAAAATCCTGCAATTCCACGGGCCATGCAGCGTTCAAGGCCAAACAAATATGCCTGTCGAGTAGTTCATACCCGGCGTTCGTGAGCACGATTGTCGGATATTACGGCCGCTGGTTGGCTGTCAACTGATGTTGTGCAAGCTATGCGAGATTCTAGCACGAATTACGTTGTGTGCTAGATAATTCAAGGAGTTATACCTTCTTCCTAGTTAGAACTGAACTAAGACTTGCAAGCCAATAATTCGAGAAACCCCTATCACCGAGTATGTGAATTTAGACACACGAGGACACCACGAGATAGGGCCGAAACACGAGCACCTAACGATATTTGGTTCGCCACATATCCAGCACCGCCCCGGGTAAACTTTTGAGAGATGTCTGATATTTGTAGCTTTGGGATGATACCACGGAGGCGCGTGTCGAGAGCGGGATGATTATATAACCCCAGGCAGGCAACGCAAACCTTTCATCTCTCTCAAGCCATGTCAATATCATGGCAACACATTTCCAGCATCATCCGCATTCGCCCCACATCGTCACACCAGCAACGGCCGCAGTCCCCTCCTCACCTTTTCCCTTCTCTTCCAGGTCGCGCTGTGACGTGATAAGTCGTTGCTATGGCAACTGGCCGCTAGCGGCTGATGTGTGACGCAGCCAGCCAAACGTGTGATGTCAGCAACTGCGGTGGCAAACCGGGCGGCTGTTGTCGCCGCGGTGATGCGGAAATTCGTCTCTGTAAACTGGGCCTAAATAGCTTTAAATGAGTGTCACCATGCAAACGTTCCATGACGTGATCAAAACATGACGTATTGGGGAGCATATTTAATAAACAAGGACTTTCTGGTCTAGGTCAGTTTTTTCCACTTCATGGTATACCAACAGTTGTAAGAGAGCTTACTTTATTATATCTGGTGCTTGCGTCAATGCCTCTAGATGTGAAACATTTCCTTTTAAGTGTGGTCTGCCATCAGTCTGACACCCATATGGAGCACACACGCCCCCATACCCTCCAGAAAACAACATGCATGGCATGGTGCACATGACCAAACCCAATGTTCGGACAGACCAAAGCAAATTAAAGCACGATTTATGCGTTTGTTGGTTTCTACGCCCTAGTGGGTTCTTTGCAATAATGATTGCGTGTGGCGTTTATTCGAAAAGTAAATAATCTCGGCTGGCAATATAGTGCAGCGACGTGACGGGCTGCTGATAATGGAATAATTGTTCGCACTACCGCTGTGTTCTGGGGTATCGATAAGACGACAGGAGACCAGCCTGAATAATGGTTCCGTCCGTGAAACTAGTACCTCGTCTCACTCATTCGGCAAACAATACACCATTAATGGCCTAATTGGCACAATAGACGCTAATGGCCGCATCTTCTCCATGCATAATCTAATTTCGCCCGCCTGCGCGCAGCTCCCGCCGTGTCAGCGGCTCGCGCCGCCGGTGGGCGGCCGCTGCCGTCGCCCCCGACGTTGTGCCGACGGTCGTCCAGTCCCGGCGCGCGGCGGCCGGTTGACGGACGTCCCGACCTGGCCCCGACCCCGGACACCTCCGGGGACCCGGCGACCTCCTGAGCGGCGCAGCACGGACGTCTGCGGACCAGTCCGCACCGGCCTGCACGCACAGGTGGGTCTCCTACAGCGGTATCGTCCCAGCCTGACACCGGCCGGGAGTGGGGATATCGGCACCTCGTTGCGCATTGGATTGGCAATCCCGGGTTCGAATCCTGCGAGGGGCGTAAATGCATATCTGTCGTGGCATTCGACACACCAGCTTCTGTCGCAAAAAAATGTCTTCCGTTCTTCTGTCTGTTGGGTTCTGTCAGTTTTCCTAATGCAACATAGAAACAGGGCTGATGGTGATTGGGCGGCCCCAGACGCTGCACAGCTGCCTACATTACTGTCGGGCGGTGACCACTGCGCGCGTTACCGTCTGTAAACAAAGTCATTGAAATACATAATGCACATGCCCCAGTGGATTACAAAAGTGAATACAGAAACAATCTGAATCACGAGTTTTAGTGGATAATATGACAAAACATTGATACGCTAAACATTCAAGGGCAAAATGTGCATCGCAAAATATGGACGCGCGAAATATTAACGCCTCGACACGACACGCGAAATATCGACGTGCAAAATGCCGAAATACGAAGAGTCAATACGCAAAATATCGACTCGACAATGTACCGACATTCAAAGTGTCCAAAAAATATTGACTGAGCAGAATGTGGACATGGGAAATATTGGCCCTGCAATAAATGTGTTAGGACTGTTTTGGGCATGGGCCTCGATACGTCCGATCAGAAAAGAAATGCTACGGATGCGGCCACTAAAACACTGAACCACAACAACTGGTAAAGGGCGATGATGCAAACATGCGCTCCAAGCGGCGGAGACTACCTAAGTTCAGTCATACCAGGACAGTACGGGGAATACCAGACCTTGAGGAACTGCATGACAATCTTCTATGGTTGGAATACCAGAAATCGGCAAATATTGATTAGTTGTTCGGTATTAGTTTGTAATGTGACGTAAACACCAATAATTTCCAACACCCTCCGACCACTAATCCGGCATTTGGCTTGGATAGGGATCTCAGGTGGATGGGGGGGGGGAGGACCCTGTGCGATCCATCAGTAGGAGACTACATCAAGTCTGCAACAATGACTATGTGGAAGCAAAAGCTGTCCAAAATCCCCAGTGAACCACAGTAGCCTCTGAAATGTCCAGTTGCGCCATATTTCACTACATTCACATGGTGTTGTCGTCATGAGTTGTTCAAATATCATGATTATGTAATTATATCATCACTACGCACCCAAATGAAAAAAGACGATGTAAGAATCCATGCCCAACAGCGCCTGGCATCCGACTACAGAAACGTGGCACGCTGCTCGTATGGGTCTGGTATGCCGTCCACAATGACCAGATATTCCTGCTATTGATGCAGAATGTGCAGCCCTCAAATACCTGTAACAGCGCGCCAAGTGGCTTGGCGTGACGCTCCTGGGGGCGTGGTATTCTACCCAGGGTCCTCGTAAGTAGACGCTACCCCTTGAAGCAGCGTAAAGTCCCTTGAAGTTTGTGCTTGCGATGCCGCCTTTAACTGGGTTCCGCACTTACCAAAAGCAGCTGCGGCGGTTTTGGACTCCTCTTTTAGGGCGTCAGATGCGGCCAGATTCCCCTGTTTTCTTTTTGCCCATGCCACCGGTGAACAATAACACCATTTTGATGCACAGTGCAGTTGCAAAGCTCGGCATGCACACGGTTCGGAAACATCTGACATTCTGCTCGGCGTATCATCTCGTGATACACATCATCCTCCGTTTCCAATGTTTTCAACTTGCTGAATATTTACATGGTTTTAGGAACAGATGGGTTGAAAGCCAGAGTTTTGAGACGCTTCATTGGTACATTGTGGTCTTTCTGACCAAAGTTTGGAGTTTACATTTCTAGCATCCGATATTTCAAACAGCGTGAACGCGTGCCCATGCCGACGCTCTTCGTAAGAACGGGGGTACAGAAAGGCGGTACATGCTTCCCTTCCCTCAGTTGATTTGATTGTCTTTGAGTGTGATCAATTACTGACTCATGTTTTGCTTTCCTGTATTTCAAGCTCTCATTGCCTCATTTTTCGCATTTAGCTATTGAGTTTCTGTCACTGTTCAAGGACAGTGATTTAGGCGCAATGCACAGCTGCACACAAAAATACGGTGTGCATCAGGTTACGGCACCGTTTGCGTGCTGGAGAACTGGCTCGGCTCACAGATGAAACCGTGGATCAATCCCTTCTCACCATGAGATGTGGGATATGGATTGATCGATGTATTGAACCGTGATCAGCCGTAGTAATGAATCATCGGGATGCCCAAGTAGTGGCAGGCATCAGGAAATGTTCGTCCGTCAAGGTGCCTCCCGCAATCGCATGTGATACTAGAAAACATCACTCGCCCTAAACAAAACATTTTGTAATCCTGAGCTTTAGCAGCATCAAATTGCATCATTGAAAATTGGTTGAAGAAGGGTTGACTTAGCGCTTGCTTTTCCGCGTACGCGCTTGCCAGCTGATCGATGCGCTCCATGCTTGGCTTGAATAGTCAATAATTTGGTATAAAACGAAAAAAATTTGCACGGCAAGTATGGATGATGCTAGAAATGCTACAAAACTGTTGCCCTCTCAACAAAGGACTTTCTCAGCTTCGGTTCGGCAGATCTGATAAGCCAATGTGACACATGCATCGGGTTTCCATACACGCAACGAGACAGTCAGGAAACGCAGGGATGACGAAATGACGGGAGGACTATCCCTAGAATATGCATACACGACGGGAGGAGGAGCCTCATCCCTAACGACCTTTATCCTTGCCCGTTCCTACCCACCAGTCGAGTTTGACGCCCATCGCTGATGAACTCCAGTTGCACATCTTTGATTCTGCATTACTGTTTTTCATAACGTCCTTTCCTAAATGTTTGCCCATCTACCACTGTCCCTATAACTTGTGCCATCGCGCCGGATGACTTATATATACCATATGTGTGGATGCACTGTTCGGTCAATGCAATAAAGTACAGTGCAATACCCGCGCCCCTGTTGCGAAAAGTGGATTTTCGGGCACTATTCGAAGGGTCAGTACATGCTAAGTTAAAATACCACACCAATGCAAAAATCAAACTTTAAAGACCGCCTTGAAACGGAACAATACAATGCATTGAAGCTATCGATAAATCGCATTTTTGGTACCATTTCCCATACTCAACAACACATAAATACTTAGATGACGAGACGAAATAGAGTTATTGATCAAAGCGGTTCGTTTAGATGGCTGGATATACTTTCCGCACGCCACCACCAAAAATATCTGTGTTACTCGTGTGAAAATTGGCCGTGACTTAGTCCAGGATAAGGAGACGATAATGTCGCCAGTGGTTTCTGTGATTACCGCTTTATTCCACTCGCAAGGGCATCACAGTGGTCACGCTGTTGGCTTCACGGACGAGTCGAAGATGGACCGTACTAGACCAAGAGTCCGCGACTCGCTTGGAGGCCGGTTAGGATAATGCGGTTACTAGGCATAATTGTGGATTGTTGTTCGTGATAATTCACGTATCGACTCGCTCCTTTATCCCACCTTTTTCCGAAATCTCCACAACCGACCAAGTGATCCGTCTTCTAGCTGGCAAAAGTAAAACGCGCCAAACTTGAGCCAGATGTTCTTCTACAGTGGGAGCCTAGAAACCGGGCATCAGGATGCCTTCGCTCCAGGTAATCATGGAGGGTGTAGTCAAAAAAAAGAAAACCCCAAAATCAAAAGCTTGCTACACCTGTCCTCAACCCCGTAGGCCTGGTCATTTACAACTCGTGCAGTTCACCACAATTCTCTGGACGGGCCTCCACCACAGAGCCCAAATCCACAGTTCTCTGGACGGGCCTGCATCACGGAGCCCACGTCGTATCCCACAAAGCTTTAGCAGACGTCAGCACGTGGGAGGAACATCAAGATACCGAACCAAATCACTTTGATGGGCTAGGAGATGTTGTAGGCGTTCGGAAGTTGGTTCAAATATGGCATTTCGCGAAGGTTTGAACGTGCATGCAATGTTTGGTTTTATGAAAAAAGTTTTGGTTATTTTTGCGAAAGTTAAGTCATTTAAGCTATATGGAAAACCAATTGTGTCAACCCTTTTGGAGAAAACATAAGACTGATTGCGTCCGGTTTGCGTGGAGCGGGGGGGGATGATTCTGAAAACACCCATGACCGATGAAGATCCGGGTCAACGGCCACATCTCATCTGGCTTGGGCTCGGAATAATTGAAGTTTTGGAAAAAAAACAGCGAGGCTATCATGCCATAATAACCCATTAACGTAGCCAGCGAACGTTAATAATCAGCAGCTCTTCCACGCGGCCAGGTCCTGGCCCTTACTTGACTACTTAACTACCGCCCATATTTTTGCCTTCGCCATGCCGTTCAAAGAACTGCCCCGGTGCTGCCCCGCCCCCTGCGTCTCCCGTTTCCTCCGTCTGTCCCGTTCCCGCGATGCTTGGTCGGACTGCGTCCTCCTCTCGCATGGCGCCGAGAGGCGCGCGCAAAAATCCATGCCCGGCGAGTTCATCTTTGTCATCGCGTACGTCTTCGGTCTGTACCCCGGGGCGTTCCGCCGCAGCGTCGGGCGTGATGGACCGTTGCCTGGTCGGAGCGACGAGCTAGCATGAACGATCTTTAAAAGTGGAGAGCTACGCTGTGGCCGACGACGGTGCCCGTGCCTTAGTTTCTGAGCTACACATTCACTAAGATGTGTAGACTCTTTCGTGCAGACTTTGAGGTCACTCAGGTATCCATGACGCAATAATCATGTCACTCAAATCCTGTCATTTCATTGGCCATGCGGTGATCAAGGCCCAGACAAATCATTTGTCGAGTCGTTTTTGTCTGGCGTTCATGGGCACGAATTCCAGAGATGACAGCCGTCAATTGTCTCTCCATCAATGTTGAACAAGGCGCGGTGGCGCAATCAGACAATGACGTGTTCAGGAGCATATATACTTAATAGTGTATAAAATATATACTTAACAGTAATAGGATATATACTTAATAGTAAATACCAAATGTCCGTCCCGGTGGAT